CTCCCTGGCATGGCTCCTGGGCCCCAGACCCCTAAATATATCGCTTGTTACTAGAGAAACCAGGTGTTCCCTAGCTCCTCTTAGGCTAACCCGTACCATGTAACAGGGTGACAGGGTGACAGGGTGGGGCTTACACTCTCCCTCTCTCTGGGAGAGGGAGTCTCCTGGCTAAGGCAAACCCCCTCTATCAGGACCTTTGTCACGACACATACGGAACACCTATGCCAGGCCACTGCTGTAGAAAGGTGTGTGTTTGAGGACTGTGTCCTGTCTGTTATTTCTCTGCTTGAGAGCTCTTCTCCAGTAAATTCTATGTTGTATCTGCACCATGTGGTGCTAGTGATTTGTGCCCCCTTGCAGGACACTAATAACATCCAAACACAATTTTAAAAACTGCTTTCTGTAGTTGGGAGACAGAGAGAAATGAGAAAAAGGAAGAGATAAGAGGAAGAAGGATGTTCCCTCTTGCAACAGCTCTCTGTTCTTTCTGAGGCCACAGATGTGCTGCAGCTCGTTTGCAGACCTGTGGGTGATTGGTACAGTGGATTCAAAAACAGAAGTGTAAGCTTCGGTTTATAAACAGACGTTTAAAATCACAACTCCCGTTTAACATTAACTCCGGTTGGTTCACTCTCATCTTTTTTTTTTTTTTTACAGTTGGTCGAATTTTCTCTTCATAGCCATCAATGTCTGAAGAAGTTACTTATGCAGATCTAAAATTCCAGGACTCCAGTAAGACAGAAAATATCCAGGAGTTTGACAAATTTGGGATAAAAGGTAAGATTTTGAGCTATGGTTGTGTTGTAAGATGGTAGAAGTGTAAGGGTAGAAGCCCTGTACCGTAGTTACTAGTGAATCGACAATGATCCTTCAATTTGATTTTTCAATTAATCCTACCATTTTTACCAAAGCTGCCAAAATGTCCGTACAAAATGAGTATAAAGATTTTTATTTTTAAGGCACTGATCAGTGCATTGAACCCTCAGTCTTTTACAAAGTTTCTATTTTTTAATATCACACTCAAGATAATTAAGATAGGATAGTATTTTCATATGATTGGATTGCAAAATGTTTGGTTTTTTCTTCCCTATGCAAGGAAGCCATGGAACAAGAAACATATGTTATCCGGTAACGTTATGACTTTGTATGTTCTTTTTTATAAGAAAATGCTAGTATGTGTGTATGTGTGTGTTTAAAAGAGATTCAGAGACAGAGAGAAAAAGAGGCAGAGAGGACTTTTAGAGGATTTCAGTTGATTTTCTACCAAGTCATGCATATACTAGCCTAAAATTTTCCTACTTCTTTTTGAGATCTTTTCCCAATTTACTAAAATATAGACAAGGTTAAGTTAAATGAAAGGACGCATCAAGGACTCAAGAAAAAAATAGATAAGAAATATTGGAAGATAAAACATTCATAACCAAACTGTACCTGGAAACTTTGTATTTTTCCATTCAAATTTAAATTATAATATAGACAAACAACCCGTGCTGACTTCCAGTTTATACTCCAATAAAGTATACTCCAATCTCCATCCTACTCATAACCCCATATTTCTCTTATCATATGTAGCTCCCATCTCCTCACTACTGATCTTTTGGGTGAAATCTTCCCCAGCATATCCGCACTTGAAATCAGTACGTTTAAGTTAAAAATAACTTAAACAGTAGCTATGAAGAACACAGAAAGTTGGTAGAAACAGTGAAATCAGGAGAGAGCAGTAATAGAAGAATTTTCATGTATTCTTTAAGTATTTTTCCCCATAAAATGTAACATTCTTTGAAATTCTAACTTTACAATGAACAGAACTTTTAGTGTTAGATCTTCATCTATCATCAGTATTGTAAATCTTGAGAATGAATAACAGTTTAATTCTGTAGGTTTTTCCTCTAATGCAGATTATTTTTAAGAGGGGGGGTTAAGGATTTTACAATATTTTTTATCTTAGTTTCCTTGTTGGTATTTCACCTTTTTTATGGTGTAAGTGGATGAGCATACCATGAGTTTCATATACCAACAATCGCCCTTCTCATATCCCATCACCTCCCTTCCCATCACCTGTCCTACTAATCCATCTTACTCTAAATTTCTACTTCAGAAATTTTTTGATTCTATGGAAATCTTGAATCCATGTCTTGCTCACTTTATCAATTTTGTCTAATTTTCTCATCACCCAGCTTAAAGTCTATATTATGGAATACAAACTTTATATTACTTAATATTTACCTTTACTCTCTTATACACTCCCCTTCAATGTACTGTTTTTTCCTTGAAAAACTCCAATTCTGATTAAACTTAAATATCCCTACACTCTGTGCCCCACCTGAACAGCTGAACATTGCTGGTAAAACAACACAGAAACTTTCAAGCCCAGTTTACTCTCACTTGACAAGCTTTCCTCCTACCTCATTCTATACCATGTTTTTGCCACCTAAAATTTCCATCCTACCACATCCTCACTCATACTCTCTGCCTTACTTCTAGGTAGGATTTACAAAGTACATATTTACTCATCAAAAGACAGACCTCCTCATTTTGCTCTGAATTTCAATCCATGTGTCCTTTTCAGTCATTTCTTGTACAATTTTCTCCTTTCTATCTTGCTTACTTATTCTCTCTTCCTCCTCTAGTTGACTATCCCTCCTTAGTGCAACAACAAACTCTACTACTCCTATTTTAACAGAACACAATCCTTGCTTGACTGCTTAAGTTTCTCCATTCATTCTTCCATTTCTTTATTTCCTTTTACAACCCAACTTTTGAAAGCATTACCTTTGGTCACAGACTCCCAATTCTTCATTCTCATTCTCTTCTCCACTAACTGTTAGGCTTCTGTCCTCATTTTTCCATGGACACTATTGTTGTCTAGATCACCTATGACTCCCCTGTTTCATCCCAATAGTCACATCTCTGTTCTTTTATTACTTGAGTTCCCTGCAGCATCCACAAAGTTGAAACAGTCCCTCTTCTTTAAACACTTTTGTTGCACATTCTCATGGACACATCCTCATGGTTTCTGCCATCACAATGGCTGCTCCCTCTCAGTCTTCATTTTTAACTCTTCCCCCTGGATCAAACTCTATATTATAGAATACTCCAGGGCTCTGCTCTGGATCCCCTTTTCTTGTGTCACTAAATGTACTTTGCTATGTTGCCTCATTCAGTCATTTGGATTCAGATATAATGACTCTCAAATATCTCCTCATGATCTTTCCTTGGATCTCTAGACTAGAAAAGACAACTACCTGTTTCACCTTTCCATATGGGGTTGTAATTTCATTTCAAACTTAAAATGGCAAAAATGTTTATTTTTCCTCTAAAACTGTTCCCTCTCCTCAATCACCCTCATCTCATTAAATACAAAAATAAATACATATTTAAATACAATCACCAAGTGTTTGCTATGTGCCAGCACTGTTCTAATTGTACTACAAATATTAAATCATTTAATCCCTAAAGATTTGTGGCTTTTTTTTTTAACCAGTGTAGAAACTAAGACACAGAGAGGTTAAATAACTTGCCTAAGGTCCCACAAGCGATAAGCAGCAGAACCAGGATTTAAGTCCAGGCACAGTAGCCCTAGAGAATGTGCTGTGTTTTGTATCATTATGTTTTTTGTTAGTGCTGTCGAGTCAATTCTTACTCCTAGTGACCCTGTGTACCCTGCTTGGTCTTTTTGTGCCATCCTCTCACCATCCAGCACTATATCAGACAATGCTCCGCTGCTATTCACAGGGTTTTCAAAGTCATTTTTTTCAAGGGTTGGGTGGCCATGTCCTTCTTCCCAGTCTCTCTTAGTCTGAAAACCCCACTGAAACCTGTCCACCATGGATGACCCTGCTGATATTTAAAATACCAGTGGTATAGCTTCCAGCATCACAGCAAATTATTATGCTATACTGCCTATAAATGTGTATATATTATTATCTACCAACTATATCAAGTTGAAAATCTCCCATTAACATTTCATAAATTTGTACTATAGATTCCAGCTTCAAAATGTATTCTTACTCTCTATCTGTGTGTCATCACATTCTCTAATACTAGTAAATCAAGCTGCTATTTCCTCTCATGTGACATACTGCAATAGGTTTCTTGCTATTCTCCCTGTTTCCAATACTGTAGCCCTACAATTCATTCTCCATATGCAGTAACAGTGATTTTTCTAAAAAAACTCAATTATTTTCCCCTCCTGATTAAACTCTTCCAGTGGATTGCCAAATAACTCCAATCCCCTTACTGTGGCTAACAAAGTCTATAAATAACGTCTCCTTCCTTTTTCTTTGACCTCCTCTAACATCATTTCTCACTGTGGACATAATTCTCTAGCCACTGTGAATTTTTTTTTTCCAAATAGTAAATGTTTTCCCCACATTAGAGTCTTTGAACTAGATGTTATTGCTGCCTGTAATGTTCTTCACACTGACTGTGTGTGCTGATTTTCACTGGCCATAAGATCTGAACTACCTGCTCTCTGTAATATAAATCAGTTTCATATCTCTGCACACCATAGCACAAGTTGAGATATTTCTGTCTATCATCTATCATCTATCTATCTATCATCTATCTATCTATCTATCTATCTATCTATCTATCTATCTATCTATCTTATTCACTTATTTAATCTCATGATGGAAATATATCTTTTATGGGAGCAGGGAGTTGTATGTGTTGTTCACTTCTGTATTGTTATCACCCAAAATTGTGTTTACTGTATAGATGGTACTCAATAGATTTTTGAATAATTGAATACAGATATAAGTGAGAAAATATTCTTATGAAACATAGCACTTGAAGTCATACTTCTAACTTTAGATGAGATCTTGATTATGTAGTTCTTTCACTAGTAACTATTTTATAAAGTCTAAAAAAGTTGTTTCACATTTTATTTGCAATTCTCTCTGTATTTTACATTATTATTGCTCTACCAACTTGTGAGATATAGGATATAGATCAGAACTATAGTGAAATTATCGTGTGTTAACCCTGAATCACATTTTCTTGAAATATCTAGTATCCATAAATACATATGATGATAATTTAAATCATGTAGTGATTTAATAATAATTAAATGTTAAGTTCATAGTTCTTGTTTTTTTTTTTTTGTGAGGAGATCAGCCCCATGCTAACTAACATCTGCCAATCCTCCTCTTTTTTTGCTAAGGAAGACTAGCCCTTGGCTAACATCCGTGCCCATCTTCCTCCACTTTACATGGGACACCGCCACAGCATGGCTTGCCAAGCAGTGCGTAGGTGCGTGCCCGGGATCCGAACCGGTAAACCCCGGGCCTCTGCAGCACGCTGCGCACTTAACCGCTTGCGCCACCGGGCGGCCCCTTGTTTTTTTTTTTAATAGGGAAATGATCTGTTTGGGCTTCACTGTTTAGTAAAAAGGAAGCATTCAACAAAATTTTGTTGCTAAAAGACATGAAAAAATTCTAATGAGGAAATGATATAGATCTGGCCTAACTAAAATCTGTCTGTTGGAAGGACACCCAGAGATATTACAAAGAGACAGCCTATCATTTATGTTTTGCAGCCAAACTTTCAGGATTTTCTGGGAAAAATATAAATAACCAAAATTATTTTCTTTGACATCCCACAATTGTCCACTCGAGGAAGGGATACTCAGATTGACCTCTCTGTTAAATGTCAGCTACTCAGATTCCCCACGTTTTACAGACAAGGTATGCTGTATCCAGATTGATTGGTTTTCTAATTTCTTTTTTAAACCCCGTTTTTGCCTCTTTGTTTCTTGAATCAACCTACCAATTAACAACCTCTCCTGTGAGAACCAGTTTGCATGCAAAACAACTAACACGTTTTTGACTTATTCTTCAAAAAGGTATTATAAAAAAGTCCTTGAGTTTCTAGCAAACAATATTTCATGACCAGGGACGTGTAAAGAGAGAAATAAAGGCAAAATGAGTGAATGAATGACTCAAATTAAGATGTATACCATTGCCAGACCTCTTTGCTAATTTTGCTTTCCATAGCACCTCCTGCTCCTTCCCAGGCATGGCGTCAAAGGGCGTTGGCTCTGGCTTTTCTGTGCCTTCTGCTGCTGATCGGACTGGGAGTCTCAGGAAGCATGTGTAGGTATTATCCATGTTTTGATTGAAAGGGAAAACACTTAGAATTGCATGAGTTTTACAACAAAGTTTACTCTGAATTGAGGCTTTGGAATGATTATAGGTGATATACCCACAAAGGGGACTTATAACTAGGTACTTACAATGTGGTACTTAGTCTCTTTCCCTCACTACTGTGAAGTGACTGCTTCCCTAGACTTTTAATGTTCTTAATACTATTTCAGGAAAGAGGAGATGATGGTTATATTGAAGGATTAACATTTTTTATCATGTCTTTTTTTGATCTGGAGTTTACATAACTTTGAAGACAGAAATGGGAAAATTGAATAAACTACAAAATTTTAAAGAAGAACTTCAGAGAAATATTTCTCTACAACTGATGCATAACATGAATTGTTCTGAGACGAACAGGAACCTCTCTATCACACTGCAGGAAATAGCCACCAAATTATGTCGTGAGCTATACGAAAAAGAACGAGGTACACCTGCATTCCTCTTTGAGTTATTTATTACACAATGAACTAAACCTAGGAGTCACTTGAGAACCACTTCATCAATAGCTAGCAGCCTTTCCCTAGGAAGCCATTATTTAGGGGAAGGATTGTGGCTGACAGAGGACTCATTGATATTTCTATGCAGTTAGAAGAAAAACAGAAAAAGTGATAATAACTATAGGCCTCAATTTATCAGGGGGTGATATTTACTTAATAAAACATTAGACAGTATACAGTATCTCTAATCTGACGTTTACTACTGTTATTTTGGGCGCTGAGGTCAATAGAAGATAGGGAGGAAAGGACATCTCTTTATATGTGACTTGTTCCTAAATTTCAGTCAGTGTTTGATGCGGGTCAATAGAAAAGAAACTAAGTTAGGCCTACCTTTGGAATTGGGAGGAATTGGTCTTTTAATGTCTCTGACAGTTTCTATAGCTATTGTAACTAAAACATGTTTTTTGTGCTCTAGAGAAGTCTCAAATATTCTACAAGTCGGAGAGTTAGAAATGCTCTAGTTGGAAAGGCAGGACTGATGTCGGTTAGTGGGGTTGATTCTCACCACACAATGTTTTTTATGATTAGCTTTTATCACCAACTAGGAATACAAAAAATGACAAAGAGAGAGAGGGAAATTGATTAATCATTATTCAGGACTCCTGAGGTAGGAAAATACACTTGAATCCAAGTGTTTAATTTGGAATGTGTTGTTCAAATGGTGTTTTGGGCACATTGTGGTGGTATATAAGGGCCTGGAAAACAGGATTCATTTTCTTCACCTTTGTTGGAAAAACAAGAAAGACAAGTAAAAGTGGTTAATTTAACATAGAGGATAACGGGGATGATAAGAATAATGAAGATTATCAAAACAAACCAAATAAAACCACGTTCTTCTTCCAGAGCACAAATGTAAACCTTGTCCAAAGCAATGGATGTGGCACGAGGACAGCTGCTACGGACTACTCAGCGATTACGAACCATGGCAAAGGAGTAAAATGATATGTTCTTCTCACAATGCCAGCCTGTTGAAGATTAAGAACAAAGGTGTATTGGTAAGGCCCCATGGATCTCTGCCCATGAGGAAGGAAGTCACTTCTCCCATCACAGAACAGAAAGGAGTGAGGCATGTAAGGAAGATCCATATTAATCCAGACATGGTTCTGGCTCTTTAGTTGGGGTATGAGGTGACTGAGACTTAGTGCCTTATTTCAGGGTAGCATAGCCAAGGTCAGTCATGTGAAACCTTAGCTTAGGACCTTAGCATCAGTGGAATCTCAGGCTGATGGGCAGATGGGTAGATATGGGGCACCCAGAATCTTTAAGTCTGTGGGCATTTCCAAACTGGAACTTTAGGATTAACTCTCAGAACATGATTTCTGATCATTTATGTAAAAACAGAATATCTGGAAATTATTCCTAAGGGTTACCATAAAATCTACATAGGAGGAGATTCTTTGTTTCCACCTTTTTGTATTTTTTCAACTAAGAGAAAAAGCCAGTGTATACTAGAATAAGAGGATAGTTTCAATAAAATATGTGTTAAAAAGTAGAATTAAAAGGGGATGGCAAAGGCAACTGCCAAGCAGAAATCTTGCACTGAGTTCCTGGGTCCCAGGAAAAGTGAGTTCTCTGGAAGATTTATTTATGTATTTATTTATTTTCTTTTTTCTAATTTCTAAATAATGTCTCCTTGTTTTACTTATTACACAACATTTCTGGTCTCAAATAATAATAACATATTTATTTTTTAAGCAAAAAATTTATTTTCCCACAAGTCTCAGCTTCCCTACTCTAAGAATCTTTGTCCTCCTTTGGAGAAGATGGGAAATCAATCTATAGTCTCTTCATCTGATCATTCTCAAATGATTAATTCATAAGTATTTACTCAAAAAATGTCTGGAATATGAGAAAAACCTGTTACTCTGGCTACAAATTTCTGGAGTGGTTCTAAATTCTGTTCTATCACCACTCTCATCTGACTTTGCTACATTTTTCTCCTACTCTTTCTGTTTCTATTAACTTGTATTTACAGTGATTAACCACCTCCTTTGCCCATGGACTGAATATTTACTGCTCAGTATTTGAGTCCTGAGGTTTGTGAACTTCCTTGACCCCAAATTAAGCTTATGTATGGACTGATAGGTCCTTCTCCATGGGAAACAGTAACTGATATTTAAATACTGGAGGAAATCTTACAGTAAGGAACACTTTGTCTCAATTTCATTTAATGGCATCAAAAATTAGTAGTATAATGTCAAAATGGTTACCTTAAAAAAGTATTTGGTAAGAAATTATGCTATGAGGTAATGACACAGTTATTTTAACAAGCCATGTCTATTTCCTGTAGGAATTTATAAAATCCCTCAGCTTACAAGATTATTGGTTGGGATTATCTCCCAGAAAATATTCCAGAAACTACCTGAAACTGGATGAGACAATTATCTCCTCTGACTGGTAACTCTTTATTCTTGTTGAATTTTTTTAGTTGGTTTGAGTAAAGGTATTTTCCTCAGGAGCATTGTAGATTACAATTAAAACTGGCTTCAACTAAAATTGCATCCTTAAATAACTCTTTTCCATCAGGCTTCTTTAATGTGTTTAATAATGGAATAAGTTGCTGCAAATGTCTTCTCATTATTTTGACAAGTCACTAACAAACTTACAATAGCCAAATAAGGGAGAGTTTCTGTGAATAATGCTTTTATCTGAGAAAATTATAGAAACCAATGAAATTCACTTGGCTCTAACATGTACTTAAAATTGTGCTAAGTGCTGGGAATCAAAGATGAATGAAAGATTGATTCTTCCCTTAGTTACATAACCATTAATTGTATGCACAGACTAATTAAACTATTCTACAGATAAAAAGAACGTAATGTGAGAGAGCTTCAATAAGAATACACAGAATAATCAAAAATAAATTTTAGCTTTGAAATTTGTGCTATAACTGACATTGGAAATGGCCATGTTTTAATGAAAAATTTAGAGGTAGACTAGAAGAACATTTCCGGTAAAAATAATAAAATGCACATAGGCATGGTATATGGCATATATGGTATATATAAACTATTTTCTTGGGTGATATATTAAGAAATGTACTTATAAATGTACCATTATAAATAGATTCATGTGTTTTATTTATTCTGCTTGTGATGGGAAAAAAACAAAAAACAAGGATTACTGAAAATTATGCCAAAATTCCACGTGTATTTTATAATCCTTTAAATTTGGGAAGCAGACTGAATTAGACTAAAGGAAGAAAGCAAAGCCTTAACCTGCTGGATACTATTGGAAGCCCACGAATGTGTACGTATTTATTGGTTGAGGGCACATCAAACAGGAGAGAACTCAGGGTAACTGTGTCGGATGTTGCCACACTGAATCTAAACCCAGAGGTTCCTGCATCCTCACCACATTGGGCCAGACAGCAAATAGAAGCTTAGATTGTTTTTGTGCTTTGTTTTGTTTTGTTTGCTTTTTCCTCCAGATTGAAATAGCAGGGTTAGGAATATGGGTCAGAAACACAAGGCAGCTCTCTCATTGGCAGTTTGCAATGAGAGGACAGAATGAGGTATTAAACATATACAAATGGAGGAGAGAAGGATGCATATTTTAATGATCCCATTTGTAGTGAAGGACTAGAGGTAAAGGTAGTATGTGTATGAGGGGAGGATATAGATGGAATCTTGCTTGGTAAAGTAGAATTTCCATGTGTTTGTAATTATTGCTAATGAGAAGATTATTAATGGGATGGAAAACAGTAGATATTTCAAATTATCAAGAATTAATTAAATTAATTGTAAAAAATTAAAAGTATACAATAATATATATGTATATATGATACGTTATAAATATATACTGTATAATCATATATATATATGTATGTATGATTTTTTGTTGTTTTTTATTCTCAATGTTATTTTGGGGCCTCTTTCTGGAAAGGGGCTGTGCTCAATGACATCTGTATTATGTCACCTCAAATAGGAAATTGCACTTTTGAAAATTTAATTGATGATATCATTTCTTGATTGATGATCATTATTATTGACACTAGTATTGATGCTACATTTTTTCCAAAAGGTAATATTTTCAATTTACAAATTTGTCTTTAATGCATGGTCCCTGATCAATAATCTTGTATTAGGGGCTGGTAATTATTCAGAACATCAGAGTAAAATCTTGGAAAAATGGCTAGAGGGGATCACTTGGAGATGATGTTGAGCTTAAGGCATCCTACATTAGGTTAATTCCTGGGTTTGGTGATTATGAAAAACATTTGAGGAGGACAGCATCAAAGATTTACTACTGAGCCAGTTACACTAGAGAATCTAATGGAACTGAATTATTCTAAATCATATTAGGTATTGGGGAAGAGAGCTGCTATGTCTAGAAGTAAAGGACAGCAAATATTCCAGATGCGATAAAGTGGAAAAGGCAGGGAGAAATCAGGCAGTGTTTGAAATTGCATATTTGTCGATAAAAATGAATAACTTGGACACTCTTGACTTTCTGAATAATAATTAAAATTTATTTTAGACAATGCAGATTCTAGCAATAATACGTTGGAAAAGTAATTTTTTCTGTGAATGTGATTCAAATGTTTGACTTGCCAAGTATAATTCTTTATTTTCTCTTTCAGGTTTATAAGAAACACAAATGACTTAAATTATAGGATACATTGTGGATATATAGATAGAACATATGTTTATTTTACTGACTGCACTGAGCAAAGAAGGATTATATGTGAGAAGTTGGCTAATCCAGTGAAGATTGAGAGTACACTAATGAGTGAAGTACCAGATGGAAGAATGTAGTCGGTGCAATTATTTTGCCTCAGTTATTATCCTGCAATTAAAGGCAACTTCAGAGAGCATATATCTTGTGGACTACATGATGGAATAAAGATGCTGTGAGACTAAATTTCTGCCTGTCTCCTAACAATTTCCATTTTCAAATTTTCTTCTTTCTCCTCATTTTCTGAATGGAAGGAACCTAAAGTCATACCTTATCATTTAGATACACTCCAGATACTGTTGAGCATAAACACAGTGTTTTGATCCTGCTTTTCCAGAAATAAATAAGTTGAATACCAACCTTATGGAAAATAAGAGAAAATTAAATCTAGGAATACATGAAAGGATAATACATCATGACCAGTTGGGGTTTATTCTAGTAATACAGGTTGATTTACATTTTGGAAAAAAAAATAAGAGAGAGAGAGAAAAGATATTATTATTGCAATAGATGTAGAAAAAGCACTTGATAAAATGCAACACCTGATTATAACAAAATCTCTTGGAAAACTAGAAGGAGAAGATTTCCCTCATTTGGTAAAGAATGTTGACATTAAAAAGAGAAAACAAAAAACCTAACAACAACAAACTCTGAACCTAACATCATACTTCTGGTAAAAGAGTAAATGTTTTTCCTTTGAGCTCTGGAAAAAGATCTGAAACAAGAATAGTCTGTATAAGTTATTTTATTCACCAACCTCTATTGTCTGTTGGAAGTCCTGCCAGTGAAATAAGGCAAGAAAAAAAAATTTTAAATATAAAAAATGGGAAAGAAAGAAATAAGACATTTTTATTTACAGATAATATAATTTTCTACATAACAAACAAATATAATTTATAAAGTACTAGAATAAACAATTTATCAAGGTCCCTGGACAAAATCTCAATACGTAAACATCAATCGTATTTTTATATATTAGTAGGAAACGATGAGAAATAAAATTTTAAAAGTAATGCCATTTATAACAGTATCCAAAAACAAAATAGTAATAGAGGTGAAAAATGCAAAAAACCTGTACGTCTGAATATTTCATGCAATGTGGCCTCATTGCCTCACCCAAAGTAGTACCTCTTTCCTAGGGATCTGTATATCCAGTGACTGATAAATATGGTGTAGCAAGTGACCAGGCAGCAGACTGCCCATTATGAGCTGGGTTCTGTTTTACCCACCAAGTCATAGGGTTAGGTGGCACCAACAGAAACCCACGGTAAGATGCCTCAAAGAAAACAACAAGCTCTTTGCTGTCAAATTAACTAATATGTACCCATTTCACAATGGAAGGAGCCATGACTCACTTTGACAGGAATAGATGCATATTCTGGGTATGGAATTGCTTGTCCTGCCCACAGGGCCTCAGCCAGAACGAGTATGCATGAGCTTAGAGAATAGTTGATCAACTGGAATGGAATCTTACAAAATACGTCTGACCAAGGGACACACTTTCTAGCATAGAGGTAAGAAAGTGGGCAATTGACCATGGAGTCCACTGGTCATATCACAAATGAAAGCAACATAAAGCTGAAGGTCAAATAGAGGAATGGAAAGGACTAAGGGCCTGTTGAAGGCACAGCTAGAGAGCCAGCTCAGAGTTAATACTTATGAAAACATGATGTCATCTTCCAAGGTATAGTGTAGACTTTAACTCAATAACCTTTATCAGGTGTTT